GGTACAGTGGGCATTAGAGAAGAAAGCACTTAGGCTACATCACAATGGCACCATATACATACTGAGTCAGCTTGTAATTACCTAGAATAGGTAAAAATAATATACACTGGTAATCCTACAGCAACATAAGCTTTAGTGTTTTGAGTCTTAATCAGTTAAAGGTTATGGCAGTAAAGTATTCGTTGAGGCAGAGATTGCTAGTTGTCCATCAAAATCCATTTCATCCACTTCTGGACATAAGCTAGACCTGCGTTTGCTGCCAGTGTCGTGTGAGCAGGAGGGATGTGCCACTTCCAGGCCAAGGCCTTTAAAAAAGGCACGGTGCCTTCTGCCTTGAAGCTGGAGAAACCAGGCATTAGCCACACACAGGGAAAGCCTGAGGTATGACAGAACCACAAGCTACGTCCCTGAAGTAGAGCGTGGAGGAAAGCCTCCTGCTGACCTGGACTTTCCACTGTGGACGTTCAATGACCAAGAAGCAAATGAATTGAGCCATTAATTGTGTGTGTGTGTGTGTGTGTGTGTATGTGTTGTAGGGGTGGGTGGAGGGTTGCTATAGCAGTTAACCTTCTCTAACCTTTTTTTTTTTGGTCTCAGTCTCACTCTGTCACCCAGGTTGGAGTGCAGTGGCACACTCATGGCCACCACAACCTCAACCTTCTGGGCTCAGGCAATTCTTCCTCCTCAGCCTTCCAAGTAGCTGGAACTACAGGTGTGTGCCACCACGCCCAGCTAATTTTTAGTTTATTGTAGAGACGAGGTCCTGTCATGTTGCCCAGTCTGGTCTCGAACCCCTGAGCTCAGGCAATCCTCTCGCCTCCACCTCCCAAAGTGCTGGGATTACAGGAGTGAGCTACCGTGCCTGGCCTAATAACCTTATTTAAAAGCATATTATGGGCATAGTGGTTCACACTTGTAATTTCAGTGCTCTGGAAGGCTGAACTGGGAGACTGCTTGAGGCCAGGAGTTCAAGATCAGTCTGGGCAACATAGCGAGACCCCATGTCTATAAAAACAAAACTTTAAAAAATTTGTGCATACCTGTAGCCCCAGCCACCTGGGTGGCTGAGGTGGGAGGATTGCTCGAGCCCAGGAGGTAGAGGCTGCAGTGAGCCATGATCACGCCACTACATTCCAGCCTGGATGACACAGCAAGACTGTCTCAAAAAAAAAAAACCTAGTCATTATTATGTTTATGCCTAAAGGTCTGTAAGGATATGGTAGTCAAGTGTGGGGAGTGGGATGGGGATTTCAATCATTATACACTTCCTTATTCCATTTTACAAAGAATTTCTATTGCCAATGAAGGAAAAGGAAAAAAAAACAAAAACAAAAGCAAAAGAGTGCCGGTACAAGCTTGACTCACTGTAGGAGTCTGTCCTCAACTCCAGCAGCCCTCAGTGAGCTCCCTGACTCCTTCAGCACTCATCGTCCCTAGTCCCGACCTGATATATTGTACAAATTAAAGAGAGTTGGGAGTGGGAGGATAGGCCATTCAGGCAGGGTCTCTCAAGACAGTCATCCCTTCAGGGGTCTGGGCCTCAGCTTTGTGAATCCAGAGACACAAGGCTTGCTGAGTGCAGGGCCCATCAGGCTTGCAGACCCAGAGACTCATGCTAGCCATGCAGGATAAACCCAGTGCACACGCGTAACTGTGCTGTGCAATATCTCCCACTGATATGAAGGCATTTGAAACACCAAGTGAATATCCAGGAGGCTGTCTGGTAAGAAGGATCACAGTAAAGGAAACTGGATGATCTTAGGAGAATCTATTCATATTGTGACTTAATTTGGTGACTCACCGCACTAAAGAGTTACATATTAAGTGACCAAAATGCTTATGAAATCCAGTCTCTCTTTCTGGAGAATGTTGCTATAAGACTGCCAAATTCTCTTTAAGTTTCTTTTTAGGCTCCGTGCGGCTTCTTTCTGATAATATAAATGAGCAGAGTAGTTTTCTGTCACACTTATCTGAGTCTACATTCTAGTTTCCATGACTGGCCTGGAGTGTTCCCCAAGTTCTGTGACTTACTTACTGGCTTGAGCATTTTAATTCGCCTGTATCTGGTCAAGTGAGGATTAGGAGTTAAAGTGCCTGTCAAATACCTGTGAAGTTAAGATCTTTATAATTATACACCTAATATTCTAATATTACAAAACATCAGGCATGCTCCTGGTATCTTACATGAAGTGAGAACCTCTTGCTTAATGTGATTTAAGGAGGTGGCTGAGATCAACACGGATGTGAAAGTGTGTTAGGAACCACCTAAGGACAGGCAGCACCATTCAAGACCTGTCCAGGCCAGGACTGTGCTGCCAACAGAGGCAAGACCTGAGACTGACTTGAAGGCTGAACAAAGCTTTATTTCTCCTAATTCTAACGTGTACTCTGCATGTTGAGATTTGGTGAGGTCCACAATGACTTGACTCATGACTTTTGTCTTTCTTTTTCAAAGATTTTTAGAGAATTTTTATCTGGTCACTTTTCTGTTGGTTCACAGTGTCTTTGGCCTGCTGTCATATTCTTCTTCTCCTACCTCCCCACCCTCACCCCTTTCTTTTTACTTAGTTGTCTGGATCGTCTCCAATTTCAGGCCTTAATATAACTGTTTCTCAAAGTGCAATGATCAAAAGATACATACAGAATTCTTGCAACAGGTACATCGTACCTTTGATCAAGAATGGAGTAACATTTTCTGTTTTGTTTCCAATATCCCTTTTGGTGGCAATCCATTGGTTGGCCTTATGGGTTTATTATGGTCATTGGTTCTCAAATTTTTACATTTCCTTAGAAGTCTGGCTTTAGACTGAGTTTGGGTTTAAGAGGTAAAGCTCAAAATTGTACAACTTAAATTCATGATGAGTCCATGCTGGCCTTAATCCAGACCTTGAACACAAATCTCTGCAAATATTAAGATATACTATGTCTAACCTATTACCACTGTCCCCTTCTCCCAGTACCTGGAGTCCAGTTTGAGAAGCAGGGCCCTAAGGATACCAGTTATGACAATACTCTGTTCTCTGATAGCTCAGATCCCTTTTGAAAGAGTCAGATTATTTAGTCCTCACCCTAAATGTGACATCCAACCTGGGTAGGAAAATATTCAAAGCTGACAGAATATTAAAGTGTTGAAATCAGGAGGGATTCTTTGGGAGACAAACTACATAGCAAAAAATACAGGTTGTAGCATGGGCAACACAGTGAGACCCTATCTCTAAAAAACTAAAAAAAATTAGCTGGACATGGTGGCATGCACCTGTTCTCCCAGGTACTTGAAAGGCTGAGGTGGGACTATTGCTTGAGTCTAGGAGTTCAAGTGCATCACTGCACTCCAGCCTGGTGACGGCAGGAAACTCTGTCCCTAGAGGAAAAAAAAGAAAGAAAGAAAAAGGAAAAAAAAAGGTTGAGCATCCCTAATCCAAAATGCTCTGAAATCTGAAACTTTCTGAACACGAACATGATGTCGCAAGTTACCCTGAACACATTTCACTATATTAGTGGTATGTCATCTTTTTCACTGTTAAGTACTTATGTGTTAAAAGTGTAGAAAAATTACTGCTCAGAGTCAGGAATGGAGGTGATGGCAAACTACCACAGACAGTCCACATGGGTGGCTGAGATAGTTGCACCTTACTTTCTGACGGTTCTGTGTACAGACTTTGTTTCATACAAATATTTAAAAATATTATATGAAATTACCTTTAGGCTATGTGTATAGGATATATATGAAACACAAGGTTGTGTTTAGACTTAGGTTCCATTCCTAAGATAACTCATTATGTAAATGCAAATATTCCAGAATCCAAAACACTTCTGGTCTCAAGCATTTTGGATAAGGGACACTCAACCAGTACAAATTTGGAGCCAGGTGGCCTAGATTTGGGTTCTAATTCTGCCACTTAGCAGCAGTGTGAACTTGGGCAAGTTACTTCACTTTGCTTCCGTTTCCTTACCCACAGAATAGGCATATTTTAGCTGTCTCATAGAATTGTTCTGAGTCTTAAAAAAGAATGTATTTAAAGTTAAGCAGTTAGAAGAGTGACTAGTACTTTGTAAGTAATAAATAAATGTTAGCTATTTCTCTTTTAGGATGCTTCAGATTGACTATTTTATATCGTTATTTATTTTTAAGAGACAGAGTCTTACTCTGTTTCCTAGGCTGCAGTGCAGTGGTGCAGTCATAGCTCACTGCAGCCTCGAGCTTCTGGGCTCAAAGCAATCCTCCACTTTAGCAAGTAGCTGGGACACAGGTGTGCACCACCATGTCCAGTTAATCTTTTAAACAATTTTTTGTAGTAATGAGGTTTAATCAGGCTAGTCTCGACTCCTGGGCTCAAGTGATCATGGTGTGAGCCACCATACCTAGCAAATTATTATTATTATTATTATTATTATTTGAGTTGGAGTCTCACTCTGTTACCCAGACTGGAGTGCAATGGCCGCTCCTGGCCACCGCAGCCTCGACCTGCTGGGCTCCAGTGATCCTTCCACCTCACCCTTCCAATTTTTTTGATTTATTGTAGAGATGAGGTCTCATCAAGTTGCCCAGGTGGGTCTCGAACCCACGGGCTCAGGCAATCCACTCACCTCAGCCTCCCAAGGTGGGGGATTACAGGCTGAGCCACTGAGCCTGGCTAATGATACTTATTTTTTAAAATTATATTGGTTCTTCTTGGTATTTTATTTTGTTTTTATTTTTTCCCTCCATCCCTCCCTCCTTGGTATTTTATTTACATTCTATAACTCTAGAATATGTGAGGTCTAATTGTTAACAATTTTGTAATTTAGGTTAAATCAACCAACATCTCTGGGTCAGTTCCCAAAGCCCAGCCTCTTCTGCAAAATAGTGCTCATCATAGAATCCGGATTAATCCTGCTACAATCATTGACATTTTGAGTTTTACTGTGACAAAATGATTATTTGTCACAAGTGTGGCCCAGGCCAGTAAGAGCTGGAATAGCACATACACTCTATCTTGTCGTCCCTCATTTGTTTTCAGGGTGCCGTCTCAAAGACTTTGGAGACTTGAGTTTTACACCGGTCCCCAAAGATGATCTCTATAACAACCTGATAGTGAATCCACGCTCAGTGGGCCTTGCCAACCAGGAGCTGGCTGAGGTGGTTGGCAGAGCAGTGTCGAGTGGCTACAGCTGCGTCACAGTGGGAGGAGACCACAGGTAAGCTGGGGCTGGATGATGTGGTGCTTTGGGCTAATCACCATTTTTCATCTGTTTCATCACCTGGAGAAAAATATCCTACAGAATTTTTAGGGTATGGTGTATACAGTAGCATTTAATGGCTATGATCATGAGCTGCTGATGGCACCGTGTGCTTTACTCTGATGGCACATTGTATAGTAAGAGGACATGTGCATTCAGACTAGTTCAGAGGGAGACTAAGTGATCTTCTTAGGAATTGTTAATGCTTATCACCCGAAAACTTTCTTGAGACGCTATCTTATGACTTTGGAGAACTGGAAAGATCCACTGATAGGCTGAATTTGGGCATTTTTGTTAGCATTTCTGCTGACAGATTGATTAGATATCCCCCTTGCATATGAATACATTTTCTACCTCCACTCTGTGGACACTAGTGACTAATGTAGTCAATTCCTGATCCTTGGTCTCTTAGTGAGTCAGCATGTACTTTCTCGAGCATTGGTCTGATATTTTCTCAGCAGTGCTAAAGATTATAGGAAATCTGTAATTTAGTAGGACTAGATGAAATAAATACTCTTGGAATGAAAAATTAAGTAAATATTGAAATCTACAGAACTGCAAAGGAGGAAGGAATCAATCTGGAATAGAATAGTCACATTTCACAGGGAAGTGTGACTTGAGGTAAGTAATGAAGGTTTTTAGTAGAAAGAGAAAGGCACTGAAGTATTAGGAGTACTGAGCAGTCCATACATATTTTCAGTGAACCCTAACAATGCTATGTGGTAGATGTGGTTTAGGTTACTGATGAAACCATGGAGGGACAGTGCTTACAAAACTTATCCAAGTTGGGTATGGTAGCATGTGCCTGTGGTTCCAGCTACTCAGGATGCTGAGGCAGGAGGATCACTTGAACCCAGGAGTTCGAGGCCAGACTGGGCAACGTAGTAAGACCCCATCTCTTTAAAAAAAAGAAGAAAGTAAAATGTATCCAAGGTTAATTCTAGGAAGTAGTAGAGCTGGAATTCAAATCCAATGTCAGTATTTTTTTTTTTTTGAGTTGGGGTCTTACTCTGTTACCAGACTAGAGTGCAGTGACATGATCACGCCTTACCGCGGGCTTAAAATTCTGAGCTCAAGTGATCCTCCTGCCTCAGCCTCCCAAGTAGCTGGGACTACAGGCGTGCACCACCATGCCCAGCTAATTTTTAAATTTTTTTTTTTGTAGAGACAGGGTCTTGCCATGTTGCCCAGGCAAGTCTTGAATTCCTGGGCCCAAGAAATCCTCCCATTTGGCTTCCCAAAGTGCTAGGATTACAGGTGTAAGCCAGTGCACCCAGCACCAATATAAGTCTTATGGCAATTAGAGATGCTCAGAGCTTTTCAGATCATAAAACAGAAATTAGATCTTTGTTACATTTGGAAAGACAGGTAGATTCTTCATTAGGAACAAAAATTCAGGTAGAATAACAAAGTGGTCAGACCCAGGTTCTCTACTGAGATGAATAGAACATTCAGTTAAATCAGCCATAGGGTGGGTCTCCTGCCTCCTAGCTCAATGTGTCTCTTCTGGTCAAGTCTCACTATCTGGGGGGACCAGTTATCAATGTGATTACCGCAGTGCTTGGTTTTTCTTTTGCCTGTAGTTACCTATATTGCAGCTGTGTTACTGCTTACCTAGTTCCTGTTCAATGTTACAACCTAGGCAACCTGGAAGATACTAGAGAGGAAGGGATAAGTGTTTAACATGAATAACTACTGAACATTTGAAAGGAAGAGGCATTTTTAGGTCACTGTCCTTCCGCATGGTTCAACATATATGATAATCTTAACCATCAAACCCACTCTGATTTAAACAGGCCAAGTTATTGTCCCTATCTTATAGAAAAGGCAAAGGAATCTAAAGAAATTAGAGGATTTGTCTTCAATCACAGCTCTTCCTGGATCAAACTCTAGCATTCTGACTTAATCCACTGCCTTTGCACTACTAGGCCATGCTATTTTTTAAAAGGGGCCCACTGCGGAGCATGGAGCCTAGAATGCGGCCTCATACTGTGTTGACCAAGAAGGACAGCTGTGGTCCGTTCCCAAGATGCTTAATATACATTTCTCATCTCTGTCAAGTGCCTTGGTTACTGGGCAGCTGGGCAGTAACTCCAACCACAACCTATCAGCTATATTTCTACAGCTGAGAGAGGACAGTTGGCTAATGTAAGCAGAGCCCAAGGACAAGGCCAGGCAAAAACAGAAACACTTAAGAATATGTGAATGCCACTGTGCATAGTGACTTTGGGAAGCTGAGGTGGAGGATTACTTGAAGCCAGAAGTTCAAGACTAGCCCAGGCAACATATGAGACCCCATTTCTCTTAAAAAAAAAAAAAAAAAATATATATATATATTTATTTATTTGAGTACCATACTAATGCATGGGATTACATGCAAATAAACCCCTATCTTATTCAGTGGTCTAAATGAGATCTTTAACTGGATTACTCTGTTACTTTAATGTCTTTAAGAGCTTTTTGAGAGATTCTAGTAAGTTTACATATATGCTTTCTAAAAAGTTATAATGCGGCCGGGCATGGTAGCCCATGCCTGTAATCCTAGCACTTTGAGAGGCCAAGGCAGGAAGATTGCTTGAGCCCAGGCGTTCGAGACCAGCCTGGGCAACATAGCAGGAACCCCATCTCTACAAAAAAAAAAAATTGAAAAATTACCCTATCATAGTGGTGTGTACCTGTAGTCCCCAGCTACTTGGGAAACTGAGGAAGGAAGATCACTTGAGCCTAGGTCAAGGCTGCAGTGAGCCTGAGTATGCCACTGCACTCCAGGCTGGGTGATAGAGTGTGAAACTTTGTCTCAAAAAAAAAAAAAAAAGCTGTAATGCTTTATAATTCTTGTCCCTAAAAAGTTAATATAACTTATTTTGAAGTTAGACCTTGTCAGTCTCCCTGAAGTGGTACCAAACAACATTTTGGTGAACTGTTACATACAGACCACATAATTTACCAAGATTTCTTTCTTTCTTTCTTTGAGACAGGGTCTTGCTATGTTGTGTAGGCTGGTCTCGAACTCCTGGGCTCAAGTGATCCTCCTGCCTCAGCCTGCTGAATGGCTGGGATTACAGGCACATGCCAAGTCACCCAGCTTAACTGGATTTCATTCACTAAACAAATATTTGAGGTCCTTTTCTGGGCCAGGGCTAATGGATCAAATTACATAGATTTGGGGGCAGCAGTGACATCTGTCACACTGCAGGGATTGCCACTTATCAACTCTGAATCTTTACAGCTTTATATTTCTCCCTAACTAGTTTGAGACCAGGTTAATCTTTGGGAACTACAACCATAGCCTCTTGCCTCACCCAAAGTCAGCCTCAGTCTAGGCCCTGACTTTGCCCTGAGGCCAGAGTGTATGCTGCGTTGGCTGAGGACATTTGTTATTGGTGATATTTGCCAAGCAGAGAGCCCTGAAGATTATATTTGTTCTTTGCAGCCTGGCGATAGGTACCATTAGTGGCCACGCCCGACACTGCCCAGACCTTTGTGTTGTTTGGGTTGATGCCCATGCTGACATCAATACACCCCTTACCACTTCATCAGGAAATCTCCATGGACAGTCAGTTTCATTTCTCCTCAGAGAACTACAGGACAAGGTCAGTGGGCTGAAGTGAAAAGAAAGGTGAATGGCTTTTGCAGGGGTATCCTGGGACTCTGAGGGTCAGTTCAGTAAGACTGTGGTGAAGAACAGATTGATAGTAGCATACCACTCCTTCATTTGTTTATCAGACACTAGTATGGGCCAGGCAGCGTGCTAGGTGCTAGGGGTATCAAGATGACTAGGACATGGTCCCTGCTCTCTGGGGGCTTATACCTTGTAAAAGAGAAAGGGGGAATGGATAGTAACTACAGTGGTTGAGACATCCGCAGCCTGAGGACTTCCTGCTTAGAGGCTCCAGGCCTCATTCTCAGACACTATAGTCTGGAACACAAGTAAAACCATGACTACCTCTGGGTAATACTTTCCTGAGCTGTTCAGAAGGCACGGTGTCCCTGTTAGGCGTAGACTAGAATCTGTATATCCCTTTCCTCAGTGAGGGACCAAGTTAAACTAGGACAGGACAAAGTTTGTGCATTAGGCAGAACTCATGTTTTGGCTCTTGGCAACTTGGATGGCAACTGGGTTATGCTTCAAGAACCAATCTGTAAACAACTCAGTAATATGCAAAGGGATGGAAAAGGACTCATCAGCAGGATTCCTGCAGCTAGGTTAGTTAATAAGAAACCAAGACAACCTCAGAAGAGATTTGTTCTTCTTGAGGACTCCATGCTGTGCTCTGCAGCAGCCCTTCTGAAACATTTCCACCACTATCAGTTCTCGTTCCCTGATCAAGTGTATCTTGGGTTACTTGACATATCCTGTGGGTAGAAGAAAGCAGACTCTATATCCTGAGAAGCACTTGGTAACTACCTTGGTGACACCAAGAATGCCTAATGAATTTTATCTACTCTTCTCTTCATAGGTACCACAACTCCCAGGATTTTCTTGGATCAAACCTTGTATCTCTTCCCCAAGTATTGTGTATATTGGCCTAAGAGATGTGGACCCTCCTGAGCAGTAAGTTGATGCATCGGAGTTAAGCTCTGGGCCTGTCTTGGCCAATTATGTTCTGTTTGAAAGGCTGATGCTTGACATAATCTGTTGTAGGTCACTATAAAGGTAAAATCTCCCCTAAATAGCCACTTGTTAAAAATGCTTTTTAAACTAAGGACTCCTTTATTTCACCAGTTTTATTTTAAAGAACTATGATATCCAGTATTTTTCCATGAGAGACATTGATCGACTTGGTATCCAGAAGGTCATGGAACAGACATTTGATCTGCTGATTGGCAAGTAAGTAACAATAATGGATGTCTACCTCTAGGTCCCAAAGGGAATGGTACAAACTCCTAAGGGACAGCACACTTCAGCCTGTCTCTTGAGAACAACAGCTTTACTTTTAAAATAAAAGCAAAACATGTACATATAAAATTTTCAAATGGCTCAGAAAGGGCATAATATGAAATATAGGTCATATTCTTCCACTGGGGTTGGGGGCATTTCATCTAAGTCATTGCTCAGATCCTCTGTCTCATGACTTTTCCTTTATCTCCATTTTAATGCTTATCTTCTTCTTTTTTTGAGTTGAAGTCTCACTCTGTTGTCCAAGCTGGAGTGCGGTGGCATGATCACAGCTCACTGAAACTTTGATCTCCTGGGCTGAGGTGATTACCTCAGCCTCTCAAGTAGCTGGGGCTACAGCACATGCCACTTTGCCTGGGTCTTGCTATGTTGCCCAGGCTGATCTCGAACTTCCGGGCTCAGATGATCTTCCTGCTTTGGCTTTCCAAAGTGCTTGGGAGTGAGCCACTGTGCCCTAGCCGTTTAATGTTCATCTTTTAAGATGAGAAGTATTCCTTGTTCTAATGGTCCCATTCTTCCCAGCCTCACTATTGTTTCACCCGAGTTTTAAATTAAGCAAATCTTGGTAGTGTAGAAAGATGGCAGATGAATGCTAATCAAATGCTGTGTTTAAGAGCATTTTCCTAATACCGAGTCTTTACTGATGTCAGAATTACCACCTGGTAGTAGTCGTTTCTTAAACTGATAAGAAATTTGGTTATTTGGCATAAGGGTGTGTTATATGTTAGCTTGAGCCATTGGACACCATGGCTAAACTGAAGTTAGAACAGGAAGATGTTAAGATTGCAGACATAGATCAGAGTTAAGTTCAGCTACTATTATATCCAGAGAATAACAGCCACTGTAACCTAGATTAAGTCAATTTAAAACAAATTACATCTGAGCCAATCTCATATGAAGTGAAGACTTCCCTCTTGACAGTTATTAGTGTAAGAGGTGCTAGTGTCTAGGGTAAGCCAGAAATACATATTGGGATTACTGTCTGAGGCATCAGAATGAATGGCCACATCTTGAAGTGTCGTGAGGAAGCTAGTATGCTAACCTCAGAACTTCCAGGAATAGGAAACCTGGAAATTTATTAACTGTTTTATTAACAAAGAACCAGGACCAAGAGCAACAAAATCAAGGAATTGCAGCCATATAGAAGATGGGTATCCAAGCACAACCAACTAAGCACTTCTCTTACCCTCTTTCTAGAAGGCAGAGGCCAATCCATCTGAGTTTTGATATTGATGCATTTGACCCTACACTGGCTCCAGCCACAGGAACACCTGTTGTAGGGGGACTGACTTATCGAGAAGGCATGTATATTACCGAGGAAATACACAATACAGGTATGTAGCAACCAGGTCTGCAGCCTCACTACCTAAGTAAATATGCTGGAGTGTCTTGCCTGTAGAGGATCTCTTCTACTATCCCATGTTATTACAGAGTTTGTTTTTGCTTAAACTTTTATAGCTAAAAATCATATGGCCAAGCTAATAAAGGATATAGTTCTTTAGAGGCATATTTGAACTTGGCTCTTACCAAACTATGCTAAGGGAATAATTAATTAAAAATTGTGTCTATTTATTTATATTTTGAGTTGGAGTCTCACTGTAACCCAAGCTGTAGTGCAGTGGCACACTCATGGCTACTGCAGGCTTGGCCTGCTGAGCTCAGGCAATCCTTCTGCCTCAGCCTTCCAAGTAGTTATAATTACAGGTGTGTACCACTACACCCAGCTAATTTTTTTGATTTATTGTAGAGACGAGGTCTCACCAAGTTGTCCAGGCTGGTCTCGAATTCCAGGGCTCAAGCAATCCTCTTGCTTCTTAAAGTACTGGGATTATAGGTGTAAGCCACCACTCCTGGCCTTGTTTGTACCTATTTAAACATTTATTAAATACAAGAATAAGTTGCCAGCTGGGCTCGGTGGCTCAGCCTGTAACCCCATGCCTTTGGGAGGCTGAGGTGAATGGACTGCCTGAGCCCGCGGGTTCGAGACCCACCCGGGCAACTTGGCGAGACCTCATCTCTACAATAAATCAAAATAAGCCGTGCGTGGTAGCGCACGCCTGTAGTTCCAGCTACTTGGATGGCTGAGGCGGAAGGCTCGTCGGAGCCCAGCAGGTCGAGGCTGTGGTAACCGGGAGTGGCCATTATACTCCAGTCTGGGTGACAGAGTGAGACTCCAACTCAAAAAAAAAAAAAAAAAAAAAAGAATAAGTTGCCAAACTGATGCAGTTCCTTGTGTCTGAGATTATTCAAAGACAGATTAAGAAAAGAAGGCAAGGCCAAGGCTATACTTTTACTCTAATGCTAAGAGGCTGGTTCACTGGGAGTTGGGAATTTGGAGTTTAAAGCTGATCCTTTGAAGATATCTGCAAAGTTGGACAATATCTTGGGTCCTTTTATGAATGGTAAGTCTTGTATTAGAGCCTATTTGATAGGATCTTCAATAAGGGGTATACAGTTAGATGAATGGTTGATAGAAGGAATTGTAAGATGAATTCTAGGTGATCAAGAGTTGCTACAAGGGGCTAATGGCCCAAAACTCAACTTGTTTGCAAACAGTTTCTATTTCTGTCAGAAAGCTTCTGGTTTTAAGGGTGCTTTAAATGACCTTTCATTCCAAAATTTAAAGAACTTACAAATTGATACTGTTTTGCTAACCATCTCATGAAATTGGGGTGTAGACAGAAGCATAGAGACCCCAGGTTGAAAGGTCCAGGGCTAAGGGGACTAGCTGAGACAGAAATTGGCATTGAGAAGTATCTCCCTGGCTCTGCAGCCCACTAGAACCTTAGGCAGCACAGAAAGAAAGGCAGTACTTGTTTATCAGATCTGATGGTGGCAAAACAGTCTAATTCTCAGATCCACACTCTCAGATATTGTCAGTGGTCCTTGGATTAGTGGCCAGAGAAGTTGGGAGTTCAATTCTCCACTCTGCTTCCCAGTAACACCACCAGGGGCAGGGGTTAATAGGCTCTAGCTTATATGCATCAGCAGTCATGCCTTGTTCCTCCCTTCCCCTGCTGTAGTAGTAGTTTGTCCCAAGAGACTGTCATGATACAATCAACTAGAAACATAATGCAAGCACTTTGCTTAAGTTAATTTACAGGGTAGCAGTATCTGGAAACACAGGTAATAGATATGTATGTTTCTAATAGTGCAAACCCTCCTGATTACTACTTCTGGGACATGCTCAAAGAGTAGGTTTAGTCAGTGAAAAGTCAGACACAAATCATCAGGGACATGGGTCCATGTGCAGGACCTGTTTACTGTAGTTTAGCACAGTGCTCTCAACTAACTATGCATCGCTAAAAAGGGAAGAGGTACTGAATGGGTGTGATGGCATGAGCATATCACATACTATAATATCATTCCAATAAGCCACTAAGTACATTCACCAGTATTTCCAGACTTTATGGTCACCCTAAATAGTTTCAAATACTTGTATTCTTGAATACTAGTTTGTTCAGATGACTTTTTATCCAGAAGAATCAATCATAAAGGTAAATTCTCCAGAGAAGTGAGGCATTTAGAGGGGTGGGAGGCCGGACTCGGTGGCTCAGCCTGTAATCCTAGCGCTTTGGGAGGCTG